AATGGAACATAAACTAATGTAATACATTAAAGCTTTGTGTGTTTAATCTCTAAGTTTTCCTATAAGGATTGTGTTGTGTAATATTGGCTTGAACCTTGGGTAAAACTGTTGGTTTGTTTTTTACTTTCTTTTTTTATTTTATTGTTTATTCATAGGTATTATTGTGCAGAAAGGAATAAAGAAAGAAAGAAAGAAAGAAAGGAATAAAGAAAGAAAGAAAGAAAGAAAGAAAGAAAGAAAGAAAGAAAGAAAGAAAGAAAGAAAGAAAGAAAGAAAGAAAGAAAAAGAAAGAAAAACATTTTTTTCCTTTTAACTTTAAACATAAACGTGTGAAATCTTCTCAGCAGAAGGGAAATAGGATACTTCTTCAATAATATTAATGTTTTTGTTAACAGTGAGCATTTTGGGGTAGGTATGTAGGATCTGGTGGCAATGTTTTATAGCCCAATTAGCACATTTGTAGTCCCTGCTGTGGTTGCTAGGAGACCAGAGAATGATGAACAACTGCTCTGACTTTGCATGACTTTACCCTTTAAATACATCTATATCGAAGTTATTTGCAATACAGACTGTCCATTGAATTTGTCAACATTTAACGTAAACAATGCCCTCTGATTTTGCATAATGCCATTTGAGATTTAAAAAAAAATACTTATAGTGTTATGCGACCTCCACTGAGTGCAAACTACATTATGTTACTTTTTATTGACAGTATAAGTAAGGCAGCCATGAAGGTCAATTGGTTAAATTTGAGAGCAGTAGCCTATACCAGAGTAGGCACTGCATGACAGAGGGCTAAGTGGCAAAGGCATGTAGAGTCTATTCAGTAGAATGTAACATTACACATCATAATAGAAACTGACAAAATCATTTACAGGGAGGAGAGAAAAATCGCAACATGCAGTGTGCACTAGTGCAATTATTACATGTGATATGGAAGTGAAATAATTTCATCTGGCAGCATAGCTTAGCCTTTGTTCACCTGGAGACAATACCCTGCCTGGATTCATCTAGATTTATCGTTACTCTCATCTAAAATGAACATTTATAATAAAATATTTTCAAGAGGATTTAGCAGACTTAAAGCAACATACAGTTCATAAGAATTGTTACTTCTTAAATACATTGAAAGATGCAGTCCAAATCCTACTAAGTCCATGCAGAAGATGAAAAAGAAGTTGAACAAAGTTAGTAAATAGGTTGTTATACTTTTCAATACTTGAAACTGCTGAACCTTGTTTTGCTTTTGTTTTTTCCACACAACTTGTTGTTGGGGATGAGAAAAGACAAAATACACAATCCTGTCATTGTATAGATCACAACATTATTCAGTTAGGCTCTAACCAAAAAATAGACAATTTTTGTTAAAAGAATGACATTTTGGGTGTAAGATTTTAAATATATATTTATTTATGTTTTGAATTTGGATTCAGAGCACAGTTTGACAACCCTTTTTCAACAGTTTGTTGTTTCTAAATGCTATTGCACTCTCTTGTTCAGGTTGTTCCCTGGTACAGAAATTTGACAGTTTGGAACACTGAAGAACATCTAACTTAAACCAAATCTAATCATTCGGATTTTGAAAGTTTTTTTTAAAGTTGCCGGAAATTCGGCCCAATTCCCCCGAAAAGCCCTGCACGTCACTAGTTAGACTAATACATTTTTAGCAAAAACATTTTCAGCTCTGCCAACTGAATTATCCATTGGATTATTTTTGTGGTTTTATTATGGACGCTACAAAAGTTTGACATGCCCTAGAACTGCTATAAAACTATAAAGGAACAAGAGAGTCACTGAAAAAGAAAAGCAGCCATTTTAAATGTAACATTTAAATCATACATTTAGAAATCCATTTTGAAAAGAGTTTTAGTAATGTGCAGTTTAAACTGAATAAATATAGAGGCATTGTCAATAGTATTTGTTTATCCATTATTAAAACTGCCATTTGAAATTTAATTTTTAAATCCTATTTTTAACATTGGTGTCAAAAGTAAACACATTTGCTACCTAAGTAGAAGTATAGATACTGCAGTTTAAAAAAACACTCTACTAAAAGTTGAAGTATCGGTAAAGTACCTCTTAACTCAAGTAAAAGTGAAAAAGTAAGAGCTCCAAAGACTACTTAAAGTATAAAAGTATAAAGTAACCTTTAAAAATAACAGCCAGATGCCACTATATGAAATGGAAGCTACATTTTTGGACTATTTCGAAAAATTCACGGAGGGAGGTCTTGTGGGCCTCCGTCTCCATTTCTGGCCTGTGTCCGACCACATTTTAACATCTTTTTTAACATCTTTTTCTCAATCCAACATTGTAGCATGGCATAGACAATTCGCGTTTGCAATTTAAAGAACACCTGCTTGCTTCTGATGATTCCCTTTTTGCGTCAGCACAATTTTGACTAATAGCTAACCAATGAGTGTTTGCGTTATATGACTCATCCACTTACACTAGTTTTCACTAGATGTGGATGGCGCCAATGATCTGAATTGGATGGCGCACATGAAGTGAAAAAAAAATATTTATGAACATTAAACCGAAGCTAAGAGTAACGAGTAATGTTTGTTTTAAAAATGTAAGGAACAGAAAGTACAGATACTTTTGTGAAAATGTAATGAGTAGAAGTCAGAAGTAGGAAGAAAAATAAGTAATAGAGTAAAGTATAGATACCAAAAAAGTGTACTTAAGTACAGTAACAAAGTTTTTGTACTTCGTTACTTGACACCTCTTGTTTATATGTCACAAAGGGGAATTTTTCAACAACACATACAAATTAAATGAAGAAATATAGATTATGTGTGGAAACGTCTTTAACAATACCCTAAGCAGGGTTTTTAAGGTATTCCTACAAATGTAAATCAAATTTAAAACAGTATGAATTCACACTGTAGCCTAAAAGGTCCTCCTGTGCAATTTCCCAACTTTTTAAAAATGCATAAAATATTTAAAAGAAATAATCTCTCTAACAAATAGTATAGACCTGATTGATCAAAAGTAAGTGTATTCTGATTTTTTTTTTTTAGAGAATAAAGGGAACATTACATCTATAGAGTAGTAGTTCTTAAACTTGCTCCTCAAGTAGCGCTGCTCTGCATGGTTTAGATTTCTCTCTGTTGCAGCACACCAGATTCAAATAATTTTAGGAACTCCTAAGCAACCTTCAAGGCGCTGCAGGAGCCTGTTTATTATTCATCTATATAAGTCAGGTGTGTGGCAGCGAAGAGAAATCTAAAACATAGAGTTAAAAGGATTGAGGAGCATTCTTCTAGAGTGTATTACCTGGCTTTAGCAGTAAATGTTGGAATGCAAAGTAATTCTACATGTTTGTTGGTTTCCCTGTTTACTTTCTTCAAACTTGCTCAATTTATTTTATTTTGCTTGATACATGCAAACCTGGCTGATGTGTACAAAGACTTATTAGACTTTCAAAAAAAAGTACTGTGAGTTTGTTGAACTTGAAGTTATTTTTTAGGCATAATATCTTTCCAAAGATTTGGTGAAACACAGCTTGTTTATAAAATAAAGCTAACAAATCTCTGTGCATGTGCCCCATCTGTGACGGAACAGGCAGAATAACATATACAGGTTGTTCTGACTGATCAAATTATAGTTCATAATTCTTAACAAAAAAAAAAAAAATAGCTTGTCAAACCCTTCCTAAAAATAAATGAAAAATATTCAGTGGCATTACACCATGCCTACCTCTCTTTTATTTCCTGGACAGATTTTTCTAATATTCCCATTGATGTTTCACAAGTTATCCAAAACAGAGTGTTAATAAAATGTCTCCCTGCCATTGCCTTAATCTATAGGTCCCTTCATAGATTTTGTAGGAAGTTCAAGTGAGGACAGTGGATTGGTTGCTCAAAAAGATTAATGCTACTAACAAGTAAAGAAATGTGTTGGACAAATTAAAATTTTACATGAATTTTAAACCTGCAAGGGGAATAAATAATTTTGGATATGACTATATAACCTCGAGTGCAACAAATTCCAACACAGCTCAACATTTTTGGACTTTCATTCCATGCATTCATTTCATGTGTTCATGGAGCAGCTGATTCATGCCCTACAAAGAGCTTAGACTCAGCATCACTGAAACACATTTTTGTATGTAACCCAAGATGCCCTTCGTCTGAAGTGCTAACTTTAGCCTTGCTTGGTGAGTTATTTTGATATTTCTTCTTGTTCAGGTGGAGAACTAGAAAAATTATTTAAAAAAACTAAACACCGCTGACGGCACAATATTATGTTGTGAGTTTATATGCAAATATGGAAGAATATTTCAGATGTATTGCATTTCTAGGAGGCCTACACAAAAGTTAAAGTAAACTTTCACAAAATGTTTGCAATTAACTGTCTACCACATTGTGTTATCATTTATAATAAAATATGTTAGTTTGTTTTAGAAAATGAATTCTTGTTGCCCATCGGGCGCTCTAGTGCTGAGAATTATATTTTTCCTCTCATTGGATTTCAAAATTTTCAACTTTTACACAAATATTCCAGTTAAACCTCCATTTATGCTGCCACAATGATTATCCCCCCTCTTTTATAGAAACCTAAAGAATAAGCAAAGTGCAGTAACATGCTCTATCTAAACACAATATTTGATTTAAAAATATTGAGTCGTGTGTAAACTTAAACTTAAAAGAAATAACCCATAATAAACCCACAGATTAATCTACATGCAGTTGATCCTGGATAAAAGCATAACTGCATTTAAAGTAAATAAGCAAAAGTAACATCTGTTATTGGATAATATATTTTAAGAAAATCACTTGGTAGTTATAAAAAGCTACCATGCAGTGCCATGACAACAGTTATAACACTTATAATATAATATATGTGAACAATCAGTGGGGCTTAACATCAGACTTGGTAGTAGAAGCTTATATGAAATAATCTAGGCAGCCAACAGTAGTATGACGAAGGCGCTAGAGTGTAATAGGCCCCATAAACCTGCTGAGGTTGAACATACCATGTGGTTGGTCCTGATGAGAGTGTGCGCTGCCTGTCGACAAAAGAGGGGAAGGAGAGGAAAGATGAGCTCCGTGCGTCAGGACGCACAAGGAACAGCATATGGCCTCTGATCTAGCCCGATCTAAACGGGTGATCTCAAACCGTTGCGCTGCGCAAAGGTGAACAGTGGACAGATTGGGGGAAAATGCGAGGAGAAAGGCGCATCAGACACTCCAGAGTCTGATCTGCGCGTGCATGCAGACGTTTATGCGAGGGTGGCACGATTGTTCACACCCACACCTTGTCACCAGTGGCGGACGGACTGAACTGTACTTCTGTACAGTTTATTTTCCTCGCAGTTTACCCATTTCGGGCTTTGCCAGCATCGTTGCCACTCGCAGGTCGTCATCGCATCTACCAGGACGATGGTGTCGTCGTTATTTATTTTGATGCCCAGACGGGCTTATTTGCGCTGCTTCTGTCCATAAGGATTTTCCTTCACCGTACTTATACTTTTTAAATCAGATTTTTTTATTATAATTATTATTATTTCGCGTTTTTATTCCCCGGTTTGTCTTTAAGATAGCAGCCTATTAATATTTAATTCTTATGCATCCGCATGAAGACGGCACCAAAGAGGAGCAAACGAGCGATAACCGAGAGGGAGAGGGAGGCAGCTGAGGAGGCAAAGCAGAATGAATGAGACACTCTGAGCATCCAAGGAGAAGGAGATTGGAGACATTGAGGTAAGACCAAAAGGCTTTTTTTTTCTTTTTCTTAAATATAGCTATTATTAATACATGTTATACCAGTGCACAATAAGTCAATGAATTGTGGAGCAGCCGGGGGTCCCTGATCAGCCCCCCCAAGGTCTCCAAAATGATCACTGTATTTTTTTATTATTATTTTTAGTTTGACAGTCACTGAGTTATTTATGAATGCTGAACCCTAAAAAGGGAATCGTGTGGGACAACTCAATGCACCACCAAGCTGCACTAAACTGATTTTGATAAATTAACTTCATAAGAGATTCAAAAGGACAGTTTGCTTCCCTGCAAACGCTTCAGTGAGGCATTTCCATCTGAACCAAACACTGATTTGGGTGGATAATGTTTATTTCTACAACGTTCAAGTGAGAGCTAGAAGAAAAGTTAGATCACCGGATGCTGTAAAGCTCAGTTTTAATAAGCAATATACTATTTTTTCTTCACTTATTTTCATTAGAGTGCAAAATGATGCATCTCATTGAGCATTAGGGGAATAAACTCATCATAGCTATGTGTGAACTGCTCTGTTCAATCCCACACCAATAATCCAGAATGTCTTCAAATCATTACCTATTGGCTCCCTTTAGAGAGCTCACCTCTGTGTAAGGTGCCTCAGTGGTATTTGAAGACAGCAGTCAAATTAAAATCCAGATTAAAGAATGTTTCCCCAAAATGGGATAATGATGGCTTCATGTCAGTATCCAATACAAAATCCATGCTTGAACCCCATTATAATATCCAATTTTAATAAAATCTGACCTCATAATGTTTTTGGGTTCATGTCTTGAAAACTGAGGCAGCATTATAATATTACCATGCTGAGCTGATTCCCAATTTAATAATAAGGCATGTAATAAAAGGACATCTGCAACATATACTGTAGTAATAATGAAATTAAACATTTGTCTTTTTGAGGCATCACGATAAAATTGAACTTGAGGACTCGTACTAGACAGACCCCAAAAGCAGTTATTTCCAGCGTATAAGCCTTTTCCTCATTTCACCAGGGTGCATTGTGTTTGTCCTGCCAATTTCTGGAAAAATTGGCAAGTCCACTATTCTGAGGGGGCTGAATGAAATTCAAATTCTTCAGGTGGTAAAACAGCAATATTGCAACTGTCTGATTGCGTTATCTGGGCATTCAAGAAGGCAGGCTTGGAATTGGTTTACTGCCAAACACTCTCCCCAGGAAGACAGAAGGATTTATTTCCCCCTTGTCTGTGTGTCACATCCCCATCAGAGAAATTATTCTCGGCTTTCTGTTGCTGCATAATAATCATACATTAACATTTCATTACTGGTCATCACAGATTTTATAGGTCACTAAAAGTAAGTTAATATATTTAGGGGTGGGTTTTCAGACAGTGTTGTCTTACTTTCTGAATTTGACAAAAACACTGCTTTTAGAGCCTTTTAGATTATCTTTGCACACAAATTAATATTACTCAAATCATTTTACTATTTACATTAAGAAATACTAGCTTAATGTACATTCAAATTAATATATGCAACTGTATGTACATACATGTATATTAAAGATGCAAAAATAATCATTTTATGAATTTTTATGAATATTAACACTTTTGAATTTCTCTCGGCATTTTTGTTGCAAATTCTGCAATATTTATGTACTCCCTAAAGCTCTTCCTCAATGCAGAATAACTGAATATATCAAAGGAAAATATGCAGAAAGACAAAGCATTGATGTGAGTTTTAGAAATTATCTTATGATGTTTTACAGTCTTTTGGAAACTACATTGCTTCCATACTTTTTAATACAAAAAAGTGAGTAAAGGTTTTAGTAAGATTTTTTATTGCTGTATTAAAAAAACAAAACTTTTTTATACAACTAGGATATGTAGTGTACTGAATGCCAAAAGCGATCGGCTTCCTTTAAAAAAGTTTCTTATATAAATAAAAAACTGATTTGCTTTTGTAATAGCATGCTGCAAAGGTTAGGCAGGCATATTGAAAATAACCCATTTTAATTTGACTTCGAACTGTACATGAATTTAAGTTTTTCTAAAATGTATTGGTTAATTCTTATAATGGAGCGGTTCCGCTTTGATTGATCCTCACAATGTTAGAGATGTAAATAAGGTGCGACAGAATTCAAATAAAAGAAGTTTCAAAAAAGTGTTGTTTGGTAAAATATGTAAAAATAAATTCAGCCAATAAAAATGGAAGAGCAAAAATAAAACAAATATAAATGCTTAACGTTTCACAAACTTAACATAGATTTTAGTGTATAGTAGTTTCAATATAGAAACAAATGAAACATTGTAACATTTGTTATGTACTTATAATGAATTAAGTGATCTCCAGCTTTTAATGTTTGTAAAGAGAAGTTGCCTTGAATACTTTGTTGATTTCCACTATGGACTAAATAGAGAAAATTTTGTGTCAGAGATAAAGCAAAGTTTTTTTTACAGCAAACCCCATATTTTTGATTTCCTAAAATCAGATATCTTTTTCCAACATTGAGAAGTAGAAAAATAAAATCTAATCCAAACTCCCAGTGTTACATTCCAGTCTGCCAATTCTTATTTGTTTAGGATGTTGTGCAAATGGTCTATAGAGATTTGTTGTTACTGATGAGTATTTGTAACTGTAATAAATGGACAACAAACCTTTGCAAGATTGAATTGTGCCCCGATGTGAATTTTTGACCTTTCCTCAAAATCAAATTTCCGTTTAGCACACAAAACCTCTCAAACGATTTTTATGGTATCATTGCAGTCTGTGAAAAAAAGAATGAAAGAAAGAAAGTGATTATAGAGGCTGCTTCAGCCTGTTCCATCTTATTTGGGTGGAGTTATGCAGTGAAAAATTGTGGCGGTGGTTGGTTGCATGACTATTTTTGCAGTGTCCCATGAGGTAGTGTGTACCTGCGTATCTCTTGTGCACGGGCAAAGAGAGGTCTTTTGTGCTCTTTTTTTCTAATGTCAAAATGCTCTGTCTCTGTCGGGCCTTTTTTCCTTTGAGCGACCTAGCAGCATTTTATTGTGTTGTGGCTCAGCTGTACTCCAATCCCTCTGTTTGAAGGAAACGCTGTCTACCTGGAAGTGGCATTTCTGTAGTTGTCACCACCCTGATAAGACTTGTCGTTACAGAAAAGCCATTAAAATTATAATGACAGTTATTGTGATTCACTGTTTTACCACTGCCAACAAAGAAACGCTGGAAATGTTTCTTTAACGGTGGCTGATGGACTCATTTTTGTAATCACAAATACCCCATTATTTGTACTAGGACTATTTTTTTTTTTTAAACATATTTTATTCTTAAGTTTCTAGATTACATTTTAGCTGCATAAACATGAAATAATAACAGAATAGAAAGATGAAAACAAGGGGAATGAAGACTAGGAAGTGCATTATCAGAAATGGAAGATATATTATAGCTCTTGGATGAGAGCCCCTTTTCTGTGGCAATGAGGCGGAAAAGCAAGGAGTAAAATGTGTCTATTTTGAAGCTCATTGCCCTTCTATTGTGGGTTTATCTATGAATCTGGCCATGCACTTGTGCAACAGCACATAGCTGCAGCCCTACCAGCTCTGCTGTCTCTGTTACTCTTGGAGAAAGTCTGAAGGTGTGGGTTTTGAGAAGCCCTTCTTACAGGAACCCTACCACACACTAATCCAATTCAGTGCTGCCAACCTTGAGCGTGTGTAGGCGCCGGGATGGCGAAAAACGAACAGGGGCAACGAGAGCACATGGATGGGAAGAAATCGATGAGGACTCTTTTTCATAAATGGAGTGGGTGTTAAATTAGCTGGATTGGCCCATGTAGCAACACACTGGATTGAGTGCTGGGTGTATTTTGGTTGTGTCTATTGACTGAAAGACAGCTCGGCATACAGCAGAGAAAAGACGTACTGATGCACAATCAATGTGTCCAATCAGCCTTAACACTGTTTCATTCACTTTTGTACAGATTTTTTTAGATGGGAAGGAGATACTAAGCTAGAAGATGTGTTTCAGCAGTTTCAACACCCAATTCAAAGAAGTCTGTCTTTCTTTCATTCATAGATTTTCTCTATTTTTTCCTTTATATTTACCACCAAACCTCCTAGCTACCTGACATACCTACCTAAAATAGTTTGCTTTGATAACGTTTTGGGTTACTAAACCAAACTATGTAAAGCTAAACTGTAGGAACCTAGATTAAATGAGGGTCACTTATTACCAGAGGTGTCAAGTAACAAAGTACAAATACTTTTTTACCTTACTGAAGTAGAAATGTTGGCAATCTATACTTTATTGGAGTAATTATATGTTATACAACATTTTACTTCTACTATTTTTTTTTGTGCAATTATCTCTACTTTCTACTCCTTGCATTTTAAAAATAAACACGTTAGTTTTATTTAATTTAAGCTCATTTTCTTTATGGACTATTAGTATTAAAATGAATAAAAACCATCAAAATAATTATTTTAGCCCAGACATTTAATTTCTTTGTGGTTGGACTAAGTACTGCACCAAATTGTTGTTTGAAACATAACAAGATGAATATTTTTTCAAGGTGATGCACAGTTAAATTTGACTCTGTAACCATCAGTTATAAGACTGAGAAGCTTAAGTATAAGGAAGTTATCACCCGGAATTGTAGAAAATGTTCTCTTAATAGACTAGTTCAGTAAAGCATCTGCCTGTAATATTTTTTGCATTACTTTTACTTTTATAGTTTAAGTAGTTTTAGAAATGGTACTTTTACACTTTTACTTGAGTAAAAAGCTGAAGTTGATACTCTAACTTCTAGAAAAGAGTTGTTAAACCATAAGATTTATACTTCTACTTGAGTAATAAACGTTAATACTTTTGAAACCTCTGCCCGTTACTTTTTGTATTGCGTCACATTTTTGATCTCTATTAAATCTGTAGTGCATAACCTTTCTTAAACGGGAAAAGAGAGGAGATTTTTTAAATCGAAACACTTTAACCCATGTCCTGCTGCCATTCCTCTTCTAATAGAG